TGGTTATAATTAGGCACCTGGGCATACCCCAGCGGTATGGCATCTTGTGGCCCAAGAGTTATGTAGTTAAGTGTCGCAGTGAGCGTCTCCATTCCAGGGTGGCTCTGGTTAGGTCAGGAAAGAACGTTAATGAGTGTTCCTCAAAGTTAAAGGGTGACCGGTTGTGGGTTGCTGCCATGAAGGCTATGCGATCCTGACCTTGTTGAAAGAGAACTATAATGTCCCTGCTTGCTCTTTTAGTTCCTGTAGTTGGTTTGGGGATATTGTACCACCCGTCCAGAGGCATCGACTTTGCTCATTTTGCAAACAATAGGACAGTGAGCAGTCTATGGAACAAGTGTGGGAATTCACTAGGCTCAAGGTTGTCAGGTAGGCTGCGTATTTTGAATTTTTTTCCAGCACCTTTTGCCCTCCATGGATTCCGATCTTGGGCCTGTGTCTGAGTGCGCTGTAGGGTCAGAAACTGATTTTCCAAAGATTTTATATAAAAAATAAAATAATAACAGAAGACCTCTCGGTATATCTTTGGTAACCAGAGGCTTCCCCGCCTGTTTGGGAGGTGAGTACCTGGGTCTGGTGAGTACACAGAGGTCGTAATCCACTTCATCAGCTAAGGACTCCTCGCTGGATGCCCGCGAGGGTCCTCAGACACCGGCACCATTTCAGGCCTCACTGAGGTTAGCAGCCTTCTCAGAAGATCACTGATGTCCAAAACCTGAGCATAGGACCACCCGCAGCTGCTGTACAGGGGGAAGACCACTAAAGAAAGATTATAGAAGCCCTGGATGCAATTTGCACCACTCAGGGTGCTTTCTCAACCTTTTATTAAGAAAGAATTCAGAGTGGTGAGGTACACGTTCAGTGCTTCTCTAATCTTTCTTTAGGGTCGGCTTCTTTGGTGGTCTCCCCCCTGTACACCAGCTGCAGGTGGTCCTATGCTCAGGTTTTGGCCTTTTTATACTTTGTTCACTCACAACTTTTTTTTTAATTTTTTACATTCTTTGACCAATACAGCATAATGAGGACTGCTGTTAATAATAAGGACATCTTGCCATATGTATTTTCTGTTTTGACTTAAATAAATGTGCATTTTTTCTATGATTTCTTCCTGATGTATATTTGTTGATCAACAAACGTGTCCTGTGTTAAGTATCATCTTCTCTAGACAATCGTAATGGAACAAGCCAGGGATGTACTCTTTTCCCTCTACTGCAGAGGGTCCTAGAGTAAGCAATTCGAAAACATGTTGACGGGATAGGTGTCCTATGTGGAGATACTAATAACATGATTGTGTTGTTTATGGACAATATTCTTTTAACAATATCATGGCCAAGAATATCCTTTTCATGTCTGCTCCAAACAAGTGATCGCTTTTCATGGATTTCAGGTAATAAAGTAAATAAATCCAAATGTGATGGCTTAGATGTATCATTCAATGAGAAAGACGTTTTAGCCTTGTCTTTTTCCTTTGGGTTTAGAGCCAATTCTATTGAAATGAAATATCTTGGTGTGCAACTCACCCCTAAACATGTGGATCTCTATAAAATTCATTACAGTATTTCTTTATATAAATCAATTAAAACCCTGCTTCTGAAATGAACACCATATACCTTATCCCTCTTGGGACAATTTTTTTCACATAAAATTATGTTCCTTCCAAAAATCCTGTATTACTTTTGATCACAGTGTTTCCTGTGATGGCATTTGGATGTTATTTAACTTAGCCAGATATGCCTGGATGACTCAGCTCTGTGCTTTAGAAATTGTGGTGTAAGGGGGAGCTTTATCCATCTTAGGTGGGATTGTACCTTCATCTTCACTTTTTAGACAAAATAAACATTTTACCGACTGAGTTAGGTCATTGGCATTCACCTTAAACCTGACCAACTACTGAAATGCTGTACAAACTATCTTACAACATCTGAGTTGCACCCATGCCACAAGATCTGCACTGCCACCAGAGCCGGCCTTAGGGGAGTGCGAGCTGTGCGGCCGCACAGGGCGCCATGGCTGCAGGGGGTGCAATGTGGTCGACACAGCTCACACATGGCCGGCTGGGATTATACATTTATTTATATTTTTAATCACCCAACATTGCGGTGGGAGCTGAGCTTACCATGCGACGGAGGCAGAGCAAAAATGGCGGTGGGGCAGAGTTAAATGTGCCGGGTGTGACGAAGTGCCCTTTGACACTTTGTCCTGGAGAGGCCTGCTTGCCTATCTCCTCCCCTGCGACTATGGCCCCTGGGAGATTGCACCCTCTTAAACCAGCATATTGGGGCTTATAGACTTTTTATGGGACTGGTGCTGGCCCTTTAAGCACATTTTTGGGACATAGAAGAAATTGGGCAATGCCCCTTTAAGACGGTGTCCCCAGACTTGTTTGGGACACTACCCCTTTAAGCCTGTGTCCCCAGTGTCCCCAGACCTGGTTAAAACCCTTTGTTCCTGGCTATTTCCCACTTGGTTCAGTAAATGGGGCTTACTGAACCAAGTACCACACAGGCGGACCACCCAGAAGTGGAAGTGTACAGGCAATTTACCTCCCAGGCTGGGAGCCTGCTGTAGGTAAATTGCTGAACGCTGGGTGGCCGCCGTTCGCGCAAAAGAACACGTGGCGGCGCCATCTTTATTCATTCAAATACGGTCAGCGGTGTGTGCAGCCAAATTCATGGAAATAAAATCGTCTACACATTTCCGCGAACACCGCTGACCATACTGAACTTTCAGCCGCAGAGACTAAGTCCCGTTCGGCGATGGGACTTAGAAATTTTTTCAGCCTGAAATAGACCGACCGTCTAACTTTTGATCTACTGAATGGATTTTTATTATTTTTGAGTATATTTATATTTAAAGGATGCTGATTAATAATATGTGGTTTTTATGAAGATTGGATGCATGGTTTTAAAGTTATAGCACACGTATAAAAACTGTGTTTTTCCTGCCTGTGTTAATTGTGTTAAGTATTGTGTACCATAATTAGATCACAGGCAGAGGGGAGGATTTTTGTGGGTAATTGCTGGGAGTGTTTTCTGTAATGTACGTGTGTTATTGGTTATTCTGTAAAACCCTGTGGGTGGTCCTATGTAGGGAAAACCTGCATAAAAGAAGGCCCTTTGGTGCCAAGTAATACAGATCTTTTTGACCCTCAATACGTAGCCTTGTCTCGTTATTGGAGGGGACAGCTATAATCACACTGGGGATTGCTATGCTCTGCATACTCCCTTGAGCTTTTAATCACTTAGCTCTTTTAAGAGTTGTTCCTGTTACGTTAACACGTGTGTGTGTGTGTGTGTGTGTGTGTGTGTGTGGCTGTCTGTCTGTGTGTGTGTGACTGTCTGCCTGTGTGTGTGTGTATGGCTGTTTGTGTGGCTGTCTGTGTGTGTGTGTGTGTGAGTGGCTGTCTGCCTGTGTGTATGTGTGTGTGTGACGTCATGCTAGTGTGTGTGTAAGAAAGTATGTGTGGCTGTATGGACGTGACTGTCCCCCTGTCTGTGTGTGTGACTGTCTGTCTGTAATTGTGTGTGAATGTGTTTATCTGCCTGTAACTGTGTATGTGTGTGACTGCCTGTACTGGTGTGTTTCTGCCTGATGCTGTGTATGTTACTATTTGCCTGTGACTGTGGCTGTATTTGACAGTGTATATGTATAACTGTGTGCATCTGACTGTGGTACTGTGTGCATATGACTCTGCAAAAATATACACCTGCATTCACACATAGGCCTAAATGCATATTTTTAGCTGAATTAAATACCTATCACACACAGCCAATAAAACCAGCACAAATATCACCTACAACCAATACATGCATATCACACATAGTTAATCCACCAATTACAAATATCACACATAGCCAACACATAGCATACATATCACACACACAGACAACACAAACATTACATCATATTATAGTGAGATGTGTTACAGTGGAACTCTGGTATATAAAATGCACATTACTCTGTGTTTTATAGTTAGGGAGCTTGGTGATACACTAATAGGCACATTACGTGGAGTTATATTGTTGTGTAGTGTATGAGCTTGTCACAGAGTTCCACATTACTGTGCGTTTTATTGTTGTGGAGTTCTGTGATAAACTGGCACACTGTCAGGAAAGTGACAGGGATCCAATACGCAGAGTGCGCACAGAAGGAGGTACGTATACCGGACCTTAGAATGGCCGGACTAACGTAAGGACAAAGCAAGAATAGTCAAAAGGTAAGCCGAGGTCAAGGGAGCCGGAGGACAGGTAAGCGAGATACAAGCCGAGTCAAAGGAGAGGAGAGGACAACAGGACAAAAGACAAGCAAGGGTCAAAACCGGAAACACTAGATAAAGAACGCGCTGAGTGACTAGCAAGCTAGAACCACGACAGGGCAATGAGCAGTAGTAAAGGTTTCCTTTAAATACCCTGTTACCTAAATAGAGACCACGCCCCCAAAAGGTCCGGAATAGCGGTTCCCGGCACTTTATGCAAATGCCGACGTCATGACGTCGACGCTAGCCGTCGCGTCATAAAAGGGGGAGGAGCTAGCGCGGCCGGCGCGAAAACGGCCGAAATATGCCGAAAAGCTAGGGGAAGGGAGCCCCTAAGCAGAGAGGATGTCCTCCCTGGATACATCACCAACAGGTACCCTGACACACACACCACATAGCACTATGAGGGCTTTTTGTTTCTGTGGAGCTCAGTGATAAATGGAGAAACAGCGCATTACTACAAATTTTTATTCCAAAGAGATCAAGGTAAATAAGCAGAACCCAGAGCTCAAAAGCAAAACCACTCACAGCAGGCCCGGACTGGCCATCGGGCATACCGGGCAAATGCCCGGTGGGCCGCGATGGCCGTGGGGCCGAGGCCGGCAGGGAGATCACAGGATCTCCCCGGCCTGCCCCTGCAGGGCCAGCGCTACCCGAGCGCCAGCCCTGCTGTGTGCCTCCATGGGCCGGTGGGGAGATCAAAGATCTCCCTCACCGGCCCAGAGGCACTGTTACAGGCGGCCGCCGGCTGGGGAGGGAGGAGAGAGGACCGGCGGAACTCTAACCAGCAGCTCCGCCGGGTCCTCTCGCGGGATTCTGAGCGTTGCCGCGGTTACCACGGCAACGCTCAGATCTCGCGAGAGTGAACTCTAGCCTGCAGGTTAGAGTTCACTCTCACCACTGGACCACCAGGGAATGCAGCATGGCTCTCCCATGGCAGAACGGCTCCCCCCCGTCCCAGGCAAAACGGTTCCCCCCCCTCCCAGGCTAAAGGTAAGAAGGGAGGGGGGGGATATAACTTTTTTTTATTATATATAAAAATATATTTTTAAATTTAAATAAGCACTCACACACACTCACACACAGCACACACACAGCACCCAGACACACACAGCACCCTCAGACACACACAGCACCCAGACACACACAACACCCACAGACACACAACACCCACAGACACACAGCACCCTCAGACACACACAGCACCCAGACACACACAACACCCTCAGACACACACAGCACCCTCAGACACACACAGCACCCTCAGACACACACAGCACCCAGACACACACAGCACCCTCAGACACACACAGCACCCTCAGACACACAACACCCTCAGACACACAACACCCTCAGACACACAACACCCTCAGACACACACAGCACCCTCAGACACACACAGCACTCAGACACACACAGCACCCTCAGACACACACAGCCCCTCAGACACACGCAGCTCCCTCAGACACACGCAGCTCCCTCAGACACACGCAGCACCCAGACACACGCAGCACCCAGACACACACGCAGCACCCAGACACACACAGCCCCCTCAGACACACAGCACCCTCAGACACACACAGCACCCTCAGACACACACACAGCACCCAGACACACACACACAGCACCCAGACACACACACACACACAGCAGTGACACACACAGCACCCTCAGACACACACAACCCCTAGCACACAGCACCCTCAGGCACACACAGCACACAGACACACACAGCACCCAGACACACACACAGCACCCAGACACACACAGCACCCTCAGACACACACAGCACCCAGACACACACGTGCAGCACTCAGACACACACAGCACCCAGACACACACACGCAGCACCCAGACACACACGCATCACCCAGACACACATGCAGCACCCAGACACACGCAGCACCCTCAGACACACAGCACCCTCAGACACACGCAGCACCCAGACACACACGCAGCACCCAGACACACACAACACCCTCAGACACACACAACACCCTCAGACACACACAGCACCCAGACACACACAGCACCCTCAGATACACACAGCACCCTCAGATACACACAGCACCCAGACACACACAGCACCCTCAGGCACACAGCACCCTCAGGCACACACACACAGCACCCTCAGGCACACACACACAGCACCCTCAGACACACACAGTACCCTCAGACAGACACTGCTCCCTCAGAGAGACAGCACCCTCACTCACACAGCACCCACACACAGCACACTCCCACACATATACAGCACACACACACATATATATATATATATAATAAATAAAATAACCCTCAGTGAGTTAACAGACAAAAAAAATTAGAAACCTAGAATGTGACGGCAGATAAAAACACATTCACACACAGCACCCCTCTTACACACACACACACACACACTGCGCCCCTCACACATACAATACGTCCAAATATAAATATATATATACACACTACAGCACCCCTCACACTACACACATTATGCTCCAGATACACGCTAGATCCCTTACCCTATATGCACTCTTAATCCTCTACACACAAACACACACACATGCAATCTCCTATACACACTCTGAGTCCTTTACACACTAGATCTCCTACACACACACTGCCCCTAGCCACACATATTACACCACAAACACAAATGAAATTGACCTATTTACACAAAACCACACCACACTCTACACACACGCAATCCCACAAGCAGGCTCCAAACACATGCACCATACGCTTTCCTGGCCCTTTTGTCCTCTGGTATCCCACTTGTGGAGACACTAGAGACAATTTAAAAGCAAACACAGTGCAAGCATGTTATTAAATTTGCTTGCGCTGCGCAGAACAAATACAGGGCGTTTTTCTAATGCTAGAGCTCTTTAGCAGGGCTCTGCGCATTGAACCAACATGCTCACTTTGAGAGGGGGCGTGTTTGTCTCTAGCCCCGCCCCCTACTTCGGGGGCCGCTCTGATTGAAAAATGCCCGGGCCGAATTTTTTTCCCAGTCCGGCCCTGACTCACAGTATTATGTGATTATGTGAGTCTGCCCCTCTGTAATGTAGGGAACTTAGTCTGGCACCTCTGGCCTGCATTTCTGTTCGCTGTCTTCCTAGCTCAGGCCAATCAGAGAGCTGCCGCAGATTACCACAGGACACTGCAAGTCCCTGAGCTTGAGAGACAGTTACGTATGGTCTGCACTCAGTGAAGGGGCAGACCAGATTCAGATCAGCATGCTCCTCTTCCAACTAGGTAACAACAGGAAAGGAGGAATGAATGTGTTTTTAAATCATTATTAATTTAATAAATCCCCTATACAATCACTATATTCTTATATGCACACACTATACATGAATGACATGGGGTGGACGATGTGAAGATTTTTTGCACAGGGTGCCTAAAGGCCTAAGGCTGGCCCTGACTGCCACTAAATTGTGTTTTGATAAGCAGAGCAAATCAGCTTCTATTCCATTTTCTACTTTGTTGACTAAGATAAAGTTTGTTTCAGAAATATAGATGAATGTAATAGCACCATGATACCCTTGAGGCAAACAATAGAGTATGTTCTGCTCATGGAGGGTCCCTCTTTCTTATCAGGCTGTTCCTTACATGTTTGTTTCCTGGATAAACTTTCCTGGAATTGCTTCAGTTTGGGTCTGTTCATCATCTCTTTCATCTCTAGATACCCTTTCCCCTTCCTACCACTTTTAATTTCTTTAACTAAAGTGGGAAAGTTAGGAGGGGACAAGTTCACCCCTCCTCGGATGCCGTGTACCCTAAGCATGCCTCCATTTGAATCCACGAATAATGTGTTTGATGTAATTCATGAATTTACTGAGTTAGTGGTCCAAATGTGAAACAAGGAAAATATGCTTCTTCAGAATAAGAATTTGATTATACCATTCGAAAAGGCAATGTATGTGAGTAATTGCAGTCTTGTGAGTAATGAGATGGTGAGAAGAAAATTTGTTATATTAAAACATCCATATTAAAAGTTGCTTAAGGATTTATATTTTTAAATGTAATACTAAAGATCTTACAAAAATGTTAGGCATTACCGAGAATACAATATGCAATTCTCCTCCAGTTTACTCAAGTAGTTCATAAACCAGAAGTTCATTGAACTTTTGCTAGCAGGATTAAACTGGAGGTTTACATGAAATTTAAAAGGTGTTTTCAAGCTTCGATAATTCTTTACAGCAAAACTGTCATTGTATTTCATGTAATTATATTTAGAATCACTCGTCTAACTTGTTGCCAAATAGGAAAGCCTACCTAACGTTAAATACATAACACAAGAATTTTTCATAGATAATTTTATAAAGGTATGTAAAGATACATTTTATATATTTCAAGTTCAAAGTCTGTCAGATAATAAGTTCATTGCACTATGGACTTTGTCACTCATAAAAGGTTAAAAGTAAGATTAGTACAATTTCAATTAAATACAATCAGAATACAAGGAACATAAAGGCGATACTTTTATTTGCTAGCTAACTTACACACTTACTTAAGAAGCATTGCATTAAACATTTTTTTTATATCACCAAGAATTCTTTTTCATGAATGTCATAAAATGAGTTAAGAGTTTTATTTGGTACCATCCAAGATAGCTTAAATTTAAATGTTATTTGCTATTCCTACTGAAACCATTCAAAATCTCAAAAAAACACTACCATACTTTTCTCCACTGTGCTCTGAAACCACTACCTTCATGCAGGAGCCCTGTTACCCCTACTTGGACCAGTGGGGGTGATTCCGGTCCACACCTGGGAGGCTACCAGGACCAAGATGGAGGGGTGAGGCCATCCAGGCTAGCAGATTGGCCTAGACATACTCAACATGGTGGAGACCGTGTGTCTCTCTAACAGTGGAGTAGTGCATCTTGATCTTGAAGTCCGGTTCAACGTAATCTTTAATATCTTCTGGAAAGGTTTGGAAAGTATTGCCAGTGGGCACCAGCTAAGCAATGTTCCATGGGAGCTTTGACTCCAGCCATATTGGAGAACCCTGCTATGCCTAAGTCAATGGAATTCAGCGGCAGGACCGACTTGGCAGAGATGCCTGAATCAACATCAGGGTAGCCGGCTGAAACTCACCTACAGGTCAGCCCATGCAGTGTAAATCTCCTGCTTTATTCTAGGGGACAGTTCGCTGAAGAGACCATTGGGGTTACCACTTGGCTCATCTCCACACTTCACTCTGATGCTCCTGAAGCCTATATCTGGGCCCTTACACCCGACCAAGCTCACCTCCACACTTCACTCTGATGCTCCTGAAGCCTATATCTGGGCCCTTACACCCGACCCTGAGAGGCATAGGATGACTAGAAATGTAACTCCTGCTGCCTGGCATTAATCCATCTCTGATGCCTTCACAAAGCATGATCTTGTTTACTTTACTTTACTGCACATGGTATCATTTGTATTATGGCTTGTGTGGTTGTTTTCAGCCCAATAGAGGTGGTTGGAATTGCTGTGCCTATGAAGACTAGTGCTTGATCATTGCCCTTTGGGTGTTCTACTGTGTGCTATCTCATTGTCAAGGACACATTTTATGCTGGCAAGCGTACTTTTTTTACATCGTTTAGACACCTATAATTACCCTGATTATCTACCTTGTCTTTTACATTAATCCAGTGAGAGCTAAACTAGCACATTCCTTCATATTTAATTCACCTAGTAATCACCAGGTTTGGAATTTTTTGTTTTGTTTTTGTTGTATCCTCACATATTTGTCATTTGTCTAGCATGATTTTTTCAATATACCATGAAAATGTGCTGCACGGTGCAAATGCCAAGTAACTCATTGTACTCTCATGTCTTACCATATACAAATTATTTTCCTATTTTATCTGATACACTTGTGATTACTGTTGTGGCATTTCCAATGACTGTGTGTGTGTGTGTGTATATGTATATATATATATATATATATATATATATATATATATATAGGCAATATAGCCATGATGATAAGGTAACATAGCATATTATAACCAATAAACATATTCAAATGATACCAGTCAGTTGTGGTGTGCTGGAACCGACAAAGCAGTAAGCCTGTAATAAAAGAGGGCAAAAAAAAGTGTACCATACAAAATGTATTCATATAACAAACATCGTTCATTTGGACAAGTCACGAAAAGCTTGCCATAACTCTTTAACTGAGTTCTGAATATAAAGAGTATAAGCGGAAGATTTCCAGCGTCCCATAGCCTTGACGATATGAGCTGGAATGTGGTTGGAGGAAGAGGAAGATGCTGCCCCTATGCAGAAGGAATGTCCTGAGAAAAGATTTGCATTTAGGCCGAGCCTAGTTAACAGTAAGCAAACATAAAGCATGAATTTAGATTTGGTAAGGATGGAGCCGTGAAGTTCTAATAGTGGTTGGTGGGGTTGTTTTTGGAAAGTGTTAAAATAAGTGTAACGGCACCCCCAGACATAAAAGAGGTTAAACCGCCGTTTAGTAGATCTTCCCCTTCCAGGGACACAGGCAGCTACGGTAGACACCAATCCACCAAACCGGAGAAGCATATGAATGCTCTCAAGCATATGAATGCTGTAAACAGCTGAATAGGAAAAACCATCCAAATAGGTTTACACTCCTAGCAGTCAAACTGGAACAGCATGCAGTAAATCCCCCCCAAGAACGAGACAAAGCTCTGTGTTGAGGGTCAAGCAGTGAACAGACAGAGCTGTGGGTTTATTGTTCTTATATACACATTAGTACCACCCAAAGGGTTTTGGGACACAACCGATAAACACATACAATACACTCAGACACTGCCACACAAAATCCTCCCCTCTGCCTTACACAATGGGTAATGTAATTATCACAAGCAGAGAAATAATTTTTTTCCACATTATTCATAACTTGAAAAGTATGCATCACATTTACATAAACAGAATCAGCATACTCCAAATACATACATATGTCAAAATCATCCAAATTGGTCCAGTAGTTCAAAAGATAGATCGTAGTCCTTTGTGACCAAATGAAGCATGGCTTTTCTGCCCAAAACCAGTTCCACAGAGTTTTCTATCCTGGAGATAATTGGGAAGTAATCCAATTATCTCCAAGGACAGAGGCAAAACTCCATTGAACACATGGCAGCAAAAGACAATAAAACACATAAAAACATATAACTGTGCAGCCATTGCACAAAACAGGTACATTCACATATCCGCAGATAGCTCAGATGTGAGTGCACATTATTACTGAATGGCGCTCAGAGCACACACATACAGTTCAATTGCCATGGAGCCAAAGTCTTTCCCATAGTCTTTCATTATACGAATGGGCTCCATGGCATAGCTATCTGGGGTATCACTGCTCAAACAGGGCCAGCACCGAATGACCCGGCTTTCATGTCTCTGCAGGGGAAAATCAAGCGTTTCAACATGGGGCCATAGTCTAAAGGCAGCAGGCGGGCAACCAGGCTCCTCCAATGCACAGTGGCGAGATTGGTCTCGTCACAATAACTGTCCAGGACTTTTACAGGGCACCATTTTTTGGTTAGTAGGGAACCGAGGTATATTGACCGTATGTCCCATAGGGCTAGTTTTAAACTGATGCAGTGAAAGAACATAATGATCTAAGGTTTTGTGGATATCAGCCATTTTCAAGTATTCAGTGGCAGTTATATTTCTAGTGGTAAATTCTTTGGGGCGTAAAAACCCATAGAACGCTAGGTAGATGGCAGTTTTTATTACCATATTGGTCATGTGTTCAAAAGGAGCTGAATCTAATAAGTTGGATAGTGTATTGAATATTTTGTTGTGGATGGGTAGTCTTTGAGATGGTACGTGTGTTTTAATCTTTTGAATTCCTTTCAGTAAGGTCTTTATCTGATATGATGAAAGGAGTCCTGTGTTGATGGGGTGTCGTAGAAGCATGTGGTGTTGGATGCCGTAAGGTACAGTTTTATTGTGTTAAAAGACAATTTTAAGTTAAGGTGGCAAAAGAAAGTGAACCCCAAAATAGATTCCAAAGCAAACATGTCCTGAACTTGAAACTCTGCTATAAACTTAGTCAAGATGTGAAAAGCCCTATTGTATGATTTCCTAGTGTTGACCGAAAGTGCAAGGTGGGAAATGTGACCTGTATGGGTCAACAAAACATTCAATCCATGAGCATGTCTTGGAATTACGGGGCAGGGGTAGCCAGCCTGGAAGCAGTGGACAGTGTCTGGAAGAAAGCCTAAAAACGAAACCAAGACAAGTGGGCAGCTGAAATGTTTGTGAAACCAGGAACGTGAATACGTGTGATAAAAAATTGGCAAGTTGCCGCTACCCATGTGAGTTTCCTCAATAGTCTCATGATGACCAAAGATGATGATCGGTCTTTATTCACAATGTGGCAAGTGGCTAGGTTGTCTGAATAACATCTGACCGGACCATTTTGGTCCCTAGGCAATGGCAGCTGCCACAATCGTATATAATTCGAACAAGGCCGAAGTAGAGGAGAAGCTGGGCAGTTACTTAACGTCTGTAGGCAATGAACCCTAAAGCCATTGAACTCCCCAGATGGCTGAAAAGTCCAAAGGGTGGGTGAAATGTCAGGGGGGGGGGAATAAACATGGCTTGCCCATTCCAAGATGTGAGGAAAAAGCGCCACATGAGTAAATGAGAGGTTGCGTCTAACGTGATACGTGATTCGTCTGAAGTGAGTTGTGGGAATAAAGAGAGTAAATGGGAAATTAAGGATCTACCATGTGGGATAATCCTCATGACAAAATTGAGCGACCCCAGCAGCGATTGAAGTTCCTTGCAGTTGCAAGAACCTAGTTGCAAGTAGTGTTCAATGCTTGATAGGGTGCGCTCAATCTTATCCTGTGGAAGGCTAGCTTGCATGTGAATTGAGTCCAGTTGAATCCGCAAAAATTGCATGATTGAATAAGGACCTTAGGTCTTATGAGGGTAGACTGGTATAGCCAGCGACTCAAAAAGAGCCAACATAAGGCTGCTATGGGGGAGTGCATTGTTTTCAATCATGAGAAAATCATCCAGGTAGTGAATAACGGATGGACATCTGCACACATTAAGCAATAACCAACACAAAGTTTCAGCAAAAGTATAAAAAAATTGGGGGGCTGCTTTTGGAGCCAAAAGTAAGAAAAAATATTAAAGCCCTTAATGCCGTGCAGATGCCAAAGTGAAGGGTGAATGAGAAGCAATTTAAAAGCATTGACAATGTCCGTTTTACTGAGCCATGCACTTGTACCAGCCACCAAAATAGCCCAAAAGGCATTGTCGATAGTGGCATATTGTAATGAAAATTCATCGGAGGGTATGAGGGAATTAAGGCTGGGAATAGTGGAGGAATGATGAGTCTGGGTTTAAGTGAAGTTGGTTCTCCAAGATGTGAAAGGTGGGGAACCAAAAAGCCCAAACAAAACCCCTTGATCTACTTCAGTCTTTATGAGTGTACACACTAACTTGGGGTCAGTTAAAGCAATTTGCAAATTGCTGCATTCTAGTGTCCCAGTTGGCAAGTGTACTAAACCTGTGTGGAACCTCTCAGACAACCCTTCGATGATACATTTAACCAAATGCTTTGAGGTATGATGTTGTAGCAGTGCAGCCAATAACGTGACGTTGATGCAAGTGTGGTAAGGTTTAGGAAAAACTTTATTCGGGCACATGGATTTTGCATGAGCCCAGAAACAAAACAAACATGTAACAACCTACATGAACTAAAACCACAAGTGCCTGCGTTAAAATTGTTGCAAATTTGTGATTTGCCCAGGAAGACAATGTCCCTACCCAGCTTATCCTTCAGAAGTCTTGCCGAGTTTGGGACAGAGTGGCCCTGCTCAACTTCTGCAGTATTAGGGCAAAAGTTTGTACTGTGTGCCTTAGATGCACAAACTGCACAAGCCGGAGTTCTGAGGCATGCAAAATGTTTGCAGAATAACTCAGTGTCCAGTTTACTCCAATTTATGCTGTAATTGAACTGAGTCAGCGCTGCAGGCACTTTTGCTGAGAAGGAACGGTGGTAGTCATAAAAGGCAGTACCACCGTATTTGTGCCCCAGATCCACCAGCTTGTGCATATAAACGTCAAATTCCTCTCTTTCCTCAGGATAAACCGAGCAATATACATCCCTATAAATCCCGAAACCCAATACAAATTCAGGAATAGATAATTTCTTATTCAACCTGGGATCTCTTGCCCTTAGTACCATGGAAATATCCCCAGTGTCATGGTTCGCTCCTTAGGTGATATTCCTTTGTGTAGTACCTGTATTCACCACTCCCCTTGTTTTGTGCTATTCCTTATTTCTTATCATTTAGCTCTTCAGCTGGTCCTTGTTAGGCACCTTTATAGTTTGGTCTCACCCTTCACTCAGCGTCAGATCATTGTTTCCTGTGACTCTGACCCTGCATCCTCTGGTTTTGTGTTTCTGTATCCTCTGGTCTTGTATCCTGCGTCCTTTGGTTTTGTGTTCTGTGTCCTTGGGTCTTGTATCCTGCTTCCTTTGGCCTTGTATCCTGTAGCCCTTTTCCAGTGACTCTGAACCTGCTTCCTTTCCTTTGTATCCTGTGGCCTTTCTTCCAGTGACTCTGACCCTGCTTCCTTTGGCCTTGTTTCCTGTGACCCTGACCCTGCATCCTTTGATACTCCCCCTGTTGTAGAATTTCTTCCACTTATAGACGTACCTGGGCACGGCTCCACTCCTTCTCCTGAGATGGCAATAACGGCAAAAACTGTGTTCCCCTTGGAAAAGTCAGACCGTCAAAAACCCTCATTACTTCAGAAATGTGACGTTGCTTCTGAGCCAGTATCAAGCAGTACAGCTACTGACCCTTCCTGTTCCTATGTGAACAAAGAAGATATCACATCTGCTGTTGTGGCATTCCAGTATCAGCTGGGGCATGAAGACACCTTAACCAAACCTAAGACAGAGGATATGTCCCCAGTGGGTATCCATTATACTGTCACTTTAAGTCCGACCTTTAATGCCCTCTTGTATCCTGGAGAGACTTGTTCACATGAAACTCCTGATCTTGGACTTCCTGGATCCCAATCCATAAGTGTCCTCCAAAAACAAGGGGATCGTCCTCTCTTAACTCCAGTTGAACTAACCCAAATGAACTTAAAGTCTCTTTGTCCCTCTGAAGAACTTGCATCTCAGTCTTTGTTCCTAGGATCACTCAAGCCAGAATCCCAGTCAGATCCAGGACTACCGCATATATCACTTATATACAACAAAAGTCCTGTGTCTCATAGGATTCATATGCTTGGGAGAATTTATTTGTTTCTCCGGTTCGGTGATTGTTGTGTCTGCCAGAGTGCTTGGAGTCCTCAAGAAGCGCTAGGAGCATCCTTCAACGGAGGTACCCAGTCGGGGTGCCAGGAGATCCGTTACACTAAGTCTTCTAAGGGAGAGGAGCAAGGCCCTCACGTAGGGCGCAAGTAGATAAGCTAACTGTTAAATGATGATACCAACTGTGATTGTAAAAGGAAACTGTTACTTGCCCCATAATAATTAATGTATACTGTGACCCATGTATGTAACTACCACACTCGTCCTTGAAATGTACTGTGATCTCAACGATATGGACTGTATATTGTTTGAAAACATTTACCTCACCACCTGTGGAATATATCTCCCTTATTATTTCCCCTTTTCTTTTTTGTACCCCTTTAACATATTCATGTTGTGATGAAAAAATAACAATAAAAAATAGAAACATGAGAATGTAAAAAAAAAAAGAAGATGTAAAAATAAAAATGTCATTCCAATGCATTCACCTCTGGTGATGTGAGGCAATGGGTACAAGGAAATAAGCATCATACAAATCTGTAGAAATCATCCAATGTACTAGAAATACTGTCTTTATCATGAAGAATGTTAAAGAATCTGGTAATATTATGTAGATCTAGAATGGATCTCCATCTGCCTGTTAGAAACAGAATCTTTGTGCTCTAGCTGCTTTTTACATTTCTCACAATAGCCCCTCTAATTGAGGGGAAGCCATGAAATTTACAAAGTGTCTCTTTTTACTTTTTCTTTTCCTCTGGTAAAAGAATAACCACTACTAATACCTAGGTTCTGGAAGGAAGGGAATGTGAGTCCTTAAATCAAAAGCATCTCCTGGAATTTAGATCTTGAAGTAGAAAAACGTTCCTGCCCTCTGCTGTCCTCTTGATCCATTCATCTCGGAGGATGCATACGTGGACCAGGTGTGACAGACCCATCCGTATGAACTAGAATTGCTGTGTTCGTCTGTTTTGCCGTTTGCATGAATTTCCCCCTTCGTATGCCTTGTTTAATGGAATGTATTTTTCTGTTGAACGGAACTACCGAACGGACGGCCACCCAGAAGAGAAGCTGATTAACCTATCGATCCCAATTAGAACATTGCGGTTAACCACAGACACTTCTCAATTAAAACCGAATACAGGGTGGTCGTCGTTCGTATGTCGACCACGAGGCGGCGGCCATTTTAACCATGCGAAAGACCAGCGGTGTTCGACGGTTGTTTCATGGAACTGAAAACGGACACTTTTTCAACCGAACACCGCTGAAGCCGTCAACCTCCCTTCTCAATCGACAGAAGTGTGCGAACACCAGCCGTTCGGGAGATTTAAAGGCACGAATGGACTTACCCCAGATAGCCTTCCCATGGAGTCAATCGCATATCAAAGAACTTGTAGCGGAACGCCAATCATAAATCCACGAATTCCGCTGGTTCCGGAAATAATCCACAGTCAAGTGCTGAAACAACAAGGCAATATCCCCAACCTCCCAGTAACCGGACGAGACACAGTTCTGAGAGTCAACTGAAATCCTTTTAATCGGCAGGACAATTTATACAAGTCCCCATGCAAGGGGTTTCCTGAGTCCCTCCCCAGGGGCACTCCCAGAGGGGACTACATGGGGGACTTACATTACAGCATATTTCTCCCATCAGGCACCGCTGCACGAGAGGGATCATCTTCCCAGAATGCACCGTTAAGTGGATTATCCCCTCGTGCAGCAGAACCGACAATTCACACAAAAATCCATAACTTGTTGAATATATGGTGGATTTACACGAATGGACGTTCGGTAGATAGCTGGGGTCTGAGCGCATCATTCGTGAGATTACCGCTCAGATCTCAGCTAAAATAACCGAACGCCGCACGAAAGACAGATTTCTGATAAAACATATAAAAAGAACCGATTGCTTGCAGGGAAGAAAATACCGAATGTCCCGAAACTCCCGAACGTCCTGGAGGCTCAGCGGTGTTCGTGCCGTCGAGTATCCGCTTTTAGTACCATGCGTTCGACGACCTAGCACCGCTGAGGGAACAAAGGATCCAAGATGGCCGACCGCCGCATGGTCGGTAGTCGAACGACGGCCACCCAGGAGAGCCTCTAATAACCGATTGCAACATTGTTGCAATCGGTTAACTAGCGCCACACGCCTCTAAGTGTGTGGGCTGTTAGGGGGTATTGCGTTTGGTTCACGAACGGCCCTCCAAAGTGCCGTTCGTGAACGAATGAAAATCCCCATACAAAACCGCCATTTGCATTCGGCAAAAGGCAATGCAGAACATACATAAAGCATACACATACAGAATGAAGCACCTATCTATCTAGACATACAGGCAACCCTTAAAGGCACAGTCTCTTTGTATTGTCCAAGTGGCTAGGTTTGCCACAATGCTCCCCCAGAACCAAGCCGGCATACACAGTCTGATCCCAACGGATCGGCTTGGGGATGTCCGGAGGAGCGCTCACAGATCACTTCTCAAGGTCTGTTTGTCTGGACAACCCGTCAGCGTTACCGTTTTGTTTCCCTGGGCGGTAATGGATCGTAAAGTCAAAGGGCTGCAGCGCCAAACTCCAGCGCAGCAGCCTGGCATTGTCTCCAGCCACACGGTTTAGCCATACCAACGGGTTGTGATCTGTGAGCAACAAAAAGGGTTGCCCATAGAGATAGGGCTGTAACTTTTTCAGGGCCCACACCATGGCCAGGCATTCTTTTTCTATGGCGGCGTAGCTCACTTCTCGAGGTAACAGTTTTCGACTCAAATATGCTACGGGGTGTTCTCCGCCATCGGCTCCGACCTGGCTTAATACTGCTCCCAATCCAAACATGGAGGTGTCTGTGTGGACAAGAAAACGTTTAGTTGGATCGGGAGCAGCCAGTACAGGGGCATTAGTCAGAGCCGTCTTCAGTTGATTGAATGCCTGTTCACACTCTGAGGCCCAGATGACCTGCCTGGGCAGGTTTTTCTTCGTCAAGTCAGTCAGGGGTTTGGCCAGGGCACTGTAATTAGGCACAAATTTTCTATAATACCCTGCGGTACCTAAGAAAGCAAGGACTTGGGTTTTGGTCCTAGGGGTAGGCCACTGGGCTAGAGCTTCAATCGTGGCAGGCTCAGGCTTCTGTTGCCCGCTCCCAACTTGGTGTCCTAAGTACTGGACCTCTGCCATCCCTATGTGGCATTTTCTGGGTTTTAAGGTAAGCCCTGCTTCCCGGATCTGATCTTTTACAGCCCCTATATGCTGTAGGTGATCCGACCAGGTCTGACTGTAGATGGCAATATCGTCCAGGTATGCACACGCATAATCCTGGAACCCGTCCAGTAGCCGATCCACCATCCGCTGGAAAGTCGCGGGGGCGTTTTTCATCCCGAATGGCATGACTCTAAACTGATACAAGCCAAACGGGGTGACAAACGCCGACTTGGGGATGGCGTCCTCGGCTAGTGGAATTTGCCAGTATCCCTTACACAGATCTATTGTAGTGAGATACTGACCCCTGGCCATCCTATCTAGCAGTTCGTCTATCCGAGGCATTGGGTAGGCGTCCGACACGGTTTTGTCGTTCAACCTCCGGTAGTCCACGCAGAACCGAGTGGTACCATCTTTCTTGGGAACCAGGACTACCGGCGATGCCCAGGGGCTATCGGAGTGTTCGATAACCCCCAACTGCAACATCTCCTCAATCTCTTTCCTCATATGTTCCCGCACGGATTCAGGAATCCGATATGGGGTCTGTCGCATGGGAAGCTGTCCCGGGGTTTCTACTCGGTGAGTGGCTAGTGGCGTGTACCCAGGTAAGTTAGAAAAGGTGGCACCCTTTGTCGCTATCAATTCTTGTACCTGGGCACGCTCTTGAGGACTTAGCCGCTCCCCCAGCTGAACCCCTTGGGAGGGCTCCTTCTGCTCCTCCTGCTCTAATAGATCTGGAAGCGGTAAGTTCTCCTGATCTTCTGAGGCGGGCGTGCAGATAGCTGCCACGTCCTCAGTTCGCTCGTGGTAGGGTTTGAGCATGTTCACATGGAGCATGCGTCTCTTCCCTACTCCGGAGCATGGGCCGATCACATAGGTGGTGTCGCATCTCTGCTCTACCACCTGGTATGGGCCCTGCCAGACGGCCTGCAGTTTATCGGTGCGAACAGGTTTGAGGATTAACACCTTCTGTCCCACTTGAAAACTACGGTCTCTGGCCCCTCTGTCATACCAACGACGCTGTCGTTGCTGGGCGGCCTGGAGGTTCGTGCGTACTGCCTGGGTCAATTCCTCCAGGCGATCCCGGAACGCCAGCACGTATGGTACAATAGGGGTCCCATCTGCGCTACTCTCCCCCTCCCAATGCTCCCTAATGAGATCCAACGGTCCCCGGACCCTTCTCCCAAATAACAGTTCAAATGGGGAGAAACCGGTAGACTCTTGGGGTACTTCTCTGTAAGCAAATAACAGATGGGGAAGGAATCGTTCCCAGTCCTTATGGGTCTCTCCGAATGTACGGAGCATCTCTTTTAGGGTACCGTTGAACCTCTCACATAATCCGTTGGACTGAGGGTGGTAGGCCGAGTTAATGATGGGCTTAATGCCACATATTCTCCATAACTGCTGAGTAACCTCAGCCGTGAATTGTGTCCCCCTATCGGAGACCATTTCCTGTGGGAACCCTACTC